ATTAAGATGGGAAAAATCAGCATCTAAAACATAGGGTATGTCGGTATATTTATTATAAAGTCAGAGATCGTCAATCCAACTAGATTATAAGAATATGTTTTAACCAGAATTATTATATGTAGCCAATAATGAGACAGAAAATAAAAAGCAATAAGTTGTCTGGATTCATTGAAAATTAAATTTTATAAATATAACATACCATAAATACTTAATTATAAAGAGATACTAGTTCGATAATCAAATGTGTGAGTATAAATAAAACCAACAAATGTGTAAGTAAATTGTTGAGCTAAAAATCATATACTAGTTCATAGTGGACTTTAGAGATGGATCAAAATCCAATCAGTTAATAGTTACATTAATATCGAATAAAAAACAGAGTGGCAGAAGACAGAAGCTATGGTTTATTTTTTGTTTTATTTTTATTTATTTTAGTATATGATTATTTGATGTCGGCAGAGGATTTTTCTTGAGTAGGACCAGCCAAAGAAAAGATGAAAATGTAAAGGAGTTTTGTTTCACTACCAATTTGTCCATTTTTGTTTGTAACAGGCTCAGAAATAAAATAAAAAATTCTTGTGACATTTAAATGTTTTGTTTTGTTTCCGAGGTAAATTTGGATCTCTGGAAATAACTTTGACATAACTTTTTTTAGTTTTAAGCAAACAAAGTTTTAAGATAATCTAGTAGCTCACACTAAACACTCTGCAAAAATTTATCAGCCTAGTTAGTTACTTATGTGTTATGTCATTCCTCTTGGTTTCTCCATTTTAGGGATATGAGACAAATATTTGTCTCATTTAACTTTTCCATCAAATGTTTTTGGTCTGAAAAAGTTTCTGATTAAGGTCACTCGGTCGTCCTCAAGTGAATGTCAAAAATCATTGGTAAAAAATGTGTCGTCATTATGTTAGAGCTGTGAAATTTTTCCAGATGTTTAACAAACAAAGCCTTGTCGACCTTCGCTTCAGCGACATTTTCAGTTAAAACTTTATACATCGCATATGTAATTAGCAATAGCTTTCATATCTTTATTAACGTTATTGTCATCAAATTTGATATGATCTCATGCAAACAGTTGATTATAAGTAGTAGGCATGCATCCACATTTCTTAAAATATGCTTTGTTTTACCATTATATTTGTATCATGCTTTGTCTCCAAAATTGTATCTCTCGTTGTGGTAATGAAGTACGGCTCAGCTAATTGTTACTCGGTTCGGTTAGATGCAGAGCCGGCGCTATCATTTTTGGGGCTACAAGCCCACATGTTTTTTTTGGGCCTGTAAGAATTTTTTTTTTAAAAAAAAATAACAAACGAGATAAAAGGAAGGAAGTGTGAGTCGAACCCGTTATGCTAGGGTTTAAATGAGATTAAATCTCTCAGCTATTACCATCTGAACTAATAAAGTTTTCGTAAATTGGGGCCGAGTTACTATATATTCTGAAGGCCACAAGCAGATGCTTCACATGCTTGTGGCTAGGGCCGGCTCTGGTTCGATGACCAAATTCTGATGCATGTAATTCTTTGGTTCTTTCTATGCTTAATTTGCGGAACTTAACTATCAATATTTGAAGTCTTATCATACATATTGTAATTAAGTAAAGAATACTGATTGTCCTAACATGGTCCTTTTTCGGGTAAATGTCTCAATGACATCCTTGGTTAGAGTTATTGTATATTCATCTCGTATGCAGGACTGCTCGTATGTAATAGGCCCGGTTGTAGGCAAGTGCAAGTGGGGCATTTGTACACAAAATTTTAGCCACATATTTGTCATATTTTAGGGCCCATTTTTCAAAATTACAAGAATTTAGGGTCTTTTATAAAATAAATTAGGACTATTTTAGAAAATGCACAGGGTCCATCATATTAACGAGCCGGGCCTATGTATGTAATGGCTGGTTGAAGATCTTGAATGGTCGCTAAAAGGATCGATTCCCAATTCCCATATTCGATTCGAAAAAAAAAAATCTTGAAAAGAGCTAGTAGTAGCAATATCTTACATACCTGCTTCCTGTATATTCCTCCCACCCACATGTAGTTTAATCAAGGTTAGTTCTATTTACTTGATTCAGTATATATTTTTGAAAACTGTGGTAGAGCTAAACTACAATTTCACATCGAATTTGGATAACATCATTTGAAACATATCAGGAAAATAAATTAACTCATTTATAAACACGAGTAAAATAAGTATTACACATTTTTCTCTCTTTTTGGTTAACAAGAAAATTAGGAGCCTTAGGCGCAAAAAATATTTGTTGAAGTGTCGTCTCTCAATGGAAAATTCGAATTCAAATACAACGACTCACGTTCTCCAAGATAATTATTTCAAACCAAGTGAACTACTACTTAATAGGTTATGGTTTTACTCGTCTAGTCTAAAATAGTCTAATACATTTATTCAAACTAGATCGAAACCCGCGCTACGTTGCGGGATATTTTTTTAAAGTATTTTTTGTTTATTTAATATAGATATGATTTGTAATAACTAAATCATATTGTTTCTAATCAAAATTAAACCAAACATAGTGAATATATTAATATGACTTATCATTTAAGGATGTGGTTCATAAACTCACTAATCAAAAAAATTAATATTTCAGTGAGATAGTTCTCTTATGATGCAAACTACCGATAAAAAAAGAATAAGATTGCAAATTTTGTAACTAAATTAATAGAGAGAACTTACTCTAACAAAACCATTTAAATATGTAAAGCATATACCTCATATCAATTGGATGTTAATTTATTTACTTTACTTTAATTGTTACCAAGGTGAATATGTTTCAAACATCGTTAAGTTACTTTTTCTAGCTCATCTCAAATTATATCAATTATGCAACACTGCAATTGTTTTAGTCTAGGTTAAGTAAAGGATTATAAAATCTTGTTTACCTTCGAAGATGTAAAAGATTATAAAAAAAATAGTCTTGGAATCCCAGCTTTAACATCTCTAGGTATTTAGTATGTTTGACCTTACTGGGACTGGTCTAATTATTGTTTCTATGCACTTCAATATTTCTTTCATCTCCAAGAGGTTTATTATTATTCTTCTTCCTTTATTTCATATTCTCTAAAATGAGATTAAGATATCTCAAGAATTGATGCAGCCGATAAATCCAGAAGTGAGGAATTTTACTATTTATTTATACATAAAAAATGCAGGACCAAACAACCAAATCATCATAAATATAAAATTTATGACTACTTCAAAATATATACCATTTATAAAAATATAAGCTTAAGTCTTACAATACCTATAGAACATAACTTTAAACTATGATATTCTTGAATCACTAAGCTACACGTTGCCTCTTCAAAAGCCACACCGAAATATCAGAAAAAAAAGATGCAAAATATTAAGCTACAATAAGGAAGAACATAATCATATAAGCATGCCTTTGTAAGAAACTATCACATCACCGTCATTTTTCCGGTGAAAACTCAACTAATTACTTCAATCCTCTCTGATTCAACACTGTCTCAGCATGGAATTGAAAGATCCAGAATCTGGAAGCGAAGATGGAGAAGCTCGTAATTAACCTAAGCTTCTCTTGAAGCTCGTAATTAACTCAAGCTTCTCTTGAATCCAATTAGAGATTTCAAAGAAATGGGAAGCGGAGATGGAGATTCTCGTAAAGCTTTCGTCAGTGAAGATTTGGAAGCAATGATTTTTTTTTTTATGGATAAATGCAAGTCATCAAAGAAGAAAGCTTAACAAATTTGACAAAAATAAGTATAACAAATAAAATTATGTCTAATAAAAATTTCGGTCGGTTCGTAAACTGACGGCAATTTTCTTGCTTTCAAAATTTATAAGTCGGTTTAGATTGTGACTTTATTAAACCGACATATCCCAACGTTTTTCTTGTAAATAAATATTGAGTCTCTTTTAAATTGGGTTTCTATTATCTACTAAAATTCAGTTATAATGGGTCAAATCCCTTAATTCCTATCGGGCCTGTATATATATATCTTTTAAAATTTAAATAGCAAGCCACTTAATAATAAAGAAAAAGTAAGAGAGATAATGATGTGGAACGAGGAGAATTATTATTGGCTGGAAAATATGAGCTGTATTAATCGAAATGTTTTCATTGGAGGATGATTTTAATGATGTGTCAAGCTGAGAAGAGCTTAAAAAACTGAGGTGTCAACGCAGGAGAGAAACCTATTATTATTATTGTATTGATTTGGTTCGGATTTTTTTGGGATAGAACTTTCACAAAATTCCGGAGGGAGGCACTATTAACACAACAAGTCAACAATCAATCGTGAAACCTTCATTAAATGTAAAGTGTGATACTGATACATAGAATGCTTAAATGAGAGATAACCAATTATATACATGATAGATAACCGAAGATAACCGCACTATATTCAACATTAAACCGGAGAGATATAATCTCTAATAACTATGGTTTTGAATTTGTTTGACAATATACAGAATTTTGGCGGACAATTTATTCTATGTAATAACGGTTCGTAGTTGGTTTTCTACGGATTTATTGATTCCGTCCGCAATAGTGCAGACTACAATATATGATATGGTAAACAAAAAACGGTTCAATCCATCAATAAACGGCATTTTTCGGAAAATCCTATGATTGTTGGTAATTACAAAGTGAATAGAAAGTTCCATCTTCATATGATTCCTGGGCTAATAATAATTGAACACTATTGATTGAACTTTGAAGAAATAAAATATTGTTCTCATCACATACGTTACTTTCATAGATTCACAAAAAAAAGTTAAAAACATGTTCTGCACAAACAGCAACAACATCTATATATAGATATACATGTAGTTCTAAATATATATACACATCACCAAATAGGGAGATTGATCTAGAAGTAGTTGGGTATTGAAAGATCACCAAGGAACAAAACGGTCCATGAGAAGACAAACAGTGAGCTCAGACATAGTTGCAGCTTCATCTTTCTCTCTTGTCTTTTGTTTAAGTCCTCTTTCTTCTTCTGATCCTTGTTGTTGTTTGGACACAACAGAGGATGTCTTGTTCCTTTGCATCAATGGGTTTCTAGTGTTTATCTTCTCACTCATCTTCTTCATCTCTCCCACCCAAACCTCCATAGCTTTTGCCATTCTTCTTCTTGTTGATCTTAATATCTAATTATGAGCGAGAGAGAGAGACGCATGTGAGCTTTATGTAGACAATGAAAGGAAGGGGGTGTTTGGTCTTTTTTGACTTACAAAACCATGGTAATGTTTGATTGGTTTTCTCAAATAATTGTGTTCTTGACACGAAAGCGGACATGTAGTTCACACTTTGGGACCGTCCACTTATAGAAGATTTGTGTCTTTTTGGGATATGTACAATAGTTTCAAATCATCAAAGTCAAAAAATATCTCTTTCGCTATCTTGAATTTTCCACGTTTTCAAATAATGTTTTGTATAAATTAATTTATTGTTGAGACAATACAAAAACCGACCTTAGCTCAGTTGGTAGAGCGGAAGACTGTAGTTGTTTACAACAGATAATCTTTAGGTCGCTGGTTCGATTCCGGCAGGTCGGATTTTATTTTTCCACTTTTTGACAAATTCATATCTTTATGATATTTTCTGTAGTGACGTGTCGTTAATATCTATTGCTTTATTCGTTGCAATTGGATAAGGTCTGGCCCAAGCAAATCCTAATAATGTCTTTATCTTATTTTTAATCTTTCGAACCCCACTTGGCAATAGTTAGGTGAATCAAATTCAAAGTTCTTCATCTTCAAATAATTTATAATTGTAATCCGAGCTGGATTGATAGAATTTTCAACTCTTATTATCCATTTCTTCTTGAATCCATTTGTTTCCTAGTTCTTGTTTTATTGAACAGTTATTGTAAGGCTAATGATAATTAAACTTATTATGAAGACATAAAAATAGAGATGTTAATTCCCAATTGTTGAAAGAGTCTGCTGCTTTCGTAAAGCAGTTAAACCTAAATTATCAATTGTTGGGGTTCAACGTCGCGCCACTGCATCGGAAAGCTTAGGAGCAATGGTAGATGATCTGAGCTCCATCCAAGACGCCCCGGAAAGCTTAAAACGCATCTCTTATCATCACCATGTTCTGCTGATTATTGCAACAAAACCTTTAGCGTTTGGGGCGCACTGAAAGTGATGGTAAGATGATGATGATGAGTCGGAAAATTCTCGATTACGAAGGACTATGGAATTGGATCTGTCTCTTGAGTTTCCAAAGGTCATACCTCGATACGACAGCCACAATGTTGAATCTTGAACTCCTTTTGTAGACATGCCTGTTTCAAACTCTTGAGCCCGCTTTCTAACACCAATGACTGGTTGAGTGCAACAGCTTCATGAGATACCAAATGTGTCTGAAATTACCAGATGTGGCGGCCTCCCTCTTGTAGCGCACTGTTGGTTAAGCTTCTGTGTGATTTCCAATCATTTGTCTAAATCCATGGAGTCCAACCTTCATACATGTTGCAGAGATTATCAACGCTTGTGGCCTGCTTGATTAGATAATCCACCTGCTCTGGAATGCTAACCTCCCTATACAAAATGGTTACAAGACTTGTTGATGTGACTTTAACATTTCTTCATTTAAGAGTTTATTGGGAAGTTAATTATCAACACGTACCTGTTGTCAGCAATGCCTCGACCATCTATTTTCATCTCCATGCACTTGAGAACTGACAGTGCATAAGCGTTTTTACCTGCATGTAGCATTACAAGAAGCCACCTTAGATTATCAAGATACGAAACTAGACATTAGCAAGGAACCATGTATGCATAGGGATCATTGCAAGTTTGTGGGGGTGTGGTACTCGAAGGCTTGGAAAATAAGTACCGCGACTACTATAGACTAATAAGTTACATGAATTTTCTAGCACTATATTTGCTGTAACTGTGAGATTACTTTTTGAGCCAATAGGAAAAATGGGAATTGCAGTGTGCTTTCCTTAAGTTTCATAGAGATAAAGAAAGAGAAAGGAAATGGGATGATGGTAGGCAATTAGATAGATGGACTAACCTCTTGTGACTCGAGTCTGTGTCTGTGTTGGAGGAGAAGCCTCATCACTTTGAACTTCAAATTTTCCCTTCATAGCTTTTTTTCTTCCAGATTCGAGCTCTGGACTCTCGACCAAAGGCTGTGAGACATCGGTTGTAACTTTTAAAGCTACATCGCTTGCTGGTAACTTGAACTCTGTGTTTTCACCTGGTTCCTCAACTGAAGCTTTTCGGGGACAATCATCATTACTTTCTATCAGCGCCTCTGCTGATACTTGTTGATCAGAGTCTGAGATGTCATCGCAATTGGACTGGGACGATGGAGTTGAAGACTTAAAAGCATTGGACTCCTCTTCATTCATCTGGGTTTGCTCTAGCATTTCGGTTGAATTGTTGAGACTAGCAGGACTGCTTGCTTCGGCTAAGGTTATGTTCGACTCTGATCCACTGCTATACACACTGTCGGGAGAAGACATCCATCCCTTATCCTCCAGAGAAAATCCGGAAATACTCAAAAGAGCTTGTGAGCTCTTGCTGACAGATTCCAAATGGTTCTCTTCCCCAAGTTCATCCAGTTTAAAGTCATTGTCAGTGAGGTCGGCCCCAGAGTAAGCACTTTCTTGTGATTTTGCTTCCTCACTCTCTCCTGGTTCTTCGAGAGCCTGAACAGGAACACATAAGTTAAGCCTATCTTATTATGAATAAGTAAAATTCACAGATAACTTAGATGATCAATCTGATGATAGATTGCTTACTTTGTTTAGGTTACGTGCATGTACACTTGCAATTTGTGCGAGCCTAGTTAACATTGAATATAGACCCTTCACCGAATATACAGTAGATGGTACCAAAGGCCTAAGGTTCTGATAACTTTCTCTAATTTTCGCACCATATGATTGATATATAGCTTGTCCATGAACGGACGAAACTTCAATGTTTGTCTCGCTTTCCCTGGTCATAGCTTCAGCAATAAGAGCAACATCCTTTGACAACGCTGAGTCTAGTGGAGTAAGGATTGCATTAGCCTGTGCAGACATTCAAACAATCAGCCATGACATTTGTGATTTACAATGATAGATTAGAAACAAAAACGTGTGAGAACGGCCTATGATTTCAAAATTGTCAAATAAGCACTGAAGTGCAAGATGTAAAAACCTTTAAAAGATCATCCATGAGAGAACGGTGAAAAGTGGCTGCCTCCTTTCCCAAACTATGAACATCATGCAGATCCTCTGTTATTGCAAGAACCTACAATTTATTAAACAAAATATCACATACCCAACCTAAATTCGGGCAGACAAATGAAACTTTCAAAGAAAATCAGATTCATAAGTCCATAATTACACTTGCGAGTATAAAAACAATGGAATTCCCAAGTCCAGGTCAAGAATGCGCAGCTTGAACCAAAGACCATCATTGGTACAAACTCAAGACCTAACCACTAAACCCGAGAGCCACATAAAGCATCAAATATCTGATACTACAGTTGGGGGGGGTCAAACAAAAAGAATTGCAGAATATTGATAGCCAGTGGCATTTATGTTCTCTAGAAAAATAGATTGTAGGCAATCACTTCATAAGCAGAATAACTTATAGAATATGGTTCTAATCTCCTACAAGTAGAGATACAGCTAAATTTTCAAGTAAAGCAGTAGTATCCTAGCAACAACATATTAAGATAAACCAGACAGTAAAAAAAAAGCTGATGCTATGATATGCCTTCATAGGATTACCTCTTCGAGCATTGCACCAGTTTCAGTGGTCAAAGCTGTGTGGCCTCTTGATACCCGGCTAAAAGAAGATAATGCAGCACTAACTTCATATGTGCAATCTCTCATTGAGAGAATAGTACTTTGCAGATCACCTGTAATTATTAAAGTTAATAATTATGGTATCATATATGTTATACGCAACAACAGTACCTAACCATGATCGACAAAACAAAGAAAACGGTACGAGAACCTCTTGTTCTTGGAGAAATGCAGAGATAGTAGTAAAGCAAAGGCAATAGGTAGAAAGTGAGAACTTTAGGCTATTAGGATAGAAAATCTAACCTGACGCAGACTTAGCTTTTACGGAAGCAATAGAAAGCTCATTTGTGGCAGAATATAGGCCAGTCGAGGCAGCTTCCAAACTGCTTTGTGCAAGCTTCCATTCTTGTTCAATATCTAAAATAGTACAAGAAGCAATGCAATTATTACTTTCTAATTGTTTTACAACGAAAGATGTATGGAAATATTTTTCTTTTTGTCTAGTTTGTCTAGCAAGATGATGTAAGCACTTACGTGTGAAAGATTGATAAGTAACCTCCAGTCGAGCAACTAAGTCCAGATAAGCTTTCTGCCATGACCTAGAGTCCCCCCTGAATCTTGCATCACCATCAAGAGCCTCATGTGCATTTCGGAAAATCCCATCTCTTGATGCTTCAAACTCCAGAAGAGACATGCAGATTTTGGCAATGTTTGATGCCTTCTCTCTTGCATCCCAAAGCAACTGCTGGCGTCTCAACAAATGGTCATGAAATTCAGTAGGAATACCAGACATCTTGGCTGAAGAATTTCCAGATGAAACAGAACTAGGTCCACCGCAAGCCCACCCCATTGCTCTCTCTAACTGTCCTTCAGCTGCGAGTGAATTTTGTTCACAAGCTTGTAGTCTTTCTATCGATCTACTGATTTGGGGAATAGCGGAATGTATAGTTTCCAACAATTTGGGTCTTTTGAGGTCTAAGAAAATAGGATGTAAGTTATCATCACTGGCAAATAATTGTTGCAATGCAGTCCGAACAGTTTGTGAAGGGGTCAATGTGGCATCGTTCATCCATTCCATTTGGACAATATCAAGGCTAGTCCGACGAAGAGCATCGCGTACTTCCTTAACTTGTTTTTTCATACGAGATGCTGCTGATTTTGCTTCTCTAGCAGTTTCATGAGCATTGCAATATTCCTCGAGCATTGCATGGACTTGTTTCAAATGGCTATAGTCTGGTTTGACTTGATCCCTTCTGGCACTGTTTTCCTCTGAGATGTGTTTCAGACGCTCATTTTCTTTATCCAGCTGAGATAAAAATGCAGGAGCAACGCTTCCTGCCAGGTAACAATCTACTCTTTCTTGAAGTTGGAACTCAAACTTCTTCTTCATAAAGAGAATTAGCTGCTCAAATCCTAATGTCTGATCCACAGACGGGGAAGCATCATGTATGCATAAATCAAGGAAGGAATCTATGATGCCTAACTTCCAGATGAAGAAGGAATGATCCTTAAGTATGCTTCTGAAACGCCATATGTTCTCAGATAGTGATTGCCCACAGCT